AGAAACCCACCCAGCTGCTTGTGAGTAGATTCTGAGCCCCTTTGAGTAGAACTGTGTTCCACAGCATTTTCGTGGTGACTTTATTTGGAAGTGGATCCCAAGGTTTTTCTTCCAAGGGGCCTTTGGGTTGTTAGCTGGGTGCTTACACATTTTTGCACCATGCCAAAATGTCTGGGGGCACAATTCATGAGAAGGTGGGGAGGGAGTAGGGGAAGACTGTCCCACCTGAGTGGAGGTTGAGGAGAATGTGGACACAGTGCTAATACCTGAAGTCAAAGGGACACTCTCTGACAACTGACATACAGCATGTACATTTTGGTAAAAGACTAAACAAGGGAAACAGGGATAGTGGGATACTCAAATATGCAGGTATGCAAATTAGCCTAGTGGGTTACCTACCGAAGAGGGTAATTGACGATGGAAGAACAAGGGTGGGTGGATTATGGTAAAGAAGGGGTTCTAACCGGACGTAGTGTGTGTTCAACTGGCTACTGATTGTGTTAGTCCAGGTAGACTAGAGACTGTCCTCTAGAGAACTCTGCCTAACACTGATGGAGGGAACCCAACCATGGTAGGGAGGGTGGTCCCAAATCCACCCTCCTGGTAGGAATAAGGGAGAAAGACAAGGCTTTCTACTCCCATGAAGAATCAGTCTTGGAAACCCACGAGGCAGTTCTACTCTGTCCTATGGGCGTCGCTGTGACTCGGCCTCCACTCGCTGGCGGTGAATGTGGGTCATTTGGGTTCTGGTAATAATGAAGCCCAGCTTTCCGGTGCGCCATCACCTCATGTGGATCTCATTCTCGACTCGGTCAGGCGTCCCTGTAGTGGAATCCACATTCGCTAAGAGGTGCCCTGTGCTTTGTTGCAGCTTTCCAGAGACTCCGGAGTGCAGGACCGACTTCCAAGGCCAAGTGGGAACCGCTCACCTTGGCTTCGCTCCAGGAAGAGAAGCCCACCAAAACTGCACCTGGGGAGAACACCTTCCGCCAAGGAAGGGCCCCGCAGTGGATCATCAAAAAAGCCATGAACATTACATGAATGCAAACCCCCCAAGCCTCCCGCCTGGCCGCGCTCCCCAGAGCCTGAGGAGCTGGAGACGTCGCCATCTAGGGCGTCCAACCAAATAAACGCGCATTCCCGTTAGCTTTGGGCATGGTAGCTAGCCAGGTGGGCCAGGAGGCGAATCCCTTGCTTCAGCCTGTGGAACCTCCAGGCTCCGCCCCGCCCCAAGACCCGCCCACCGCTCCTCCCTCGCCGGGCTGGGGCGTGGCGTGGGCGGAGCTGAGGCCCGCAGACTGGGGGCGGGCCTTCTCCCCGAGTGACGGGCCGGTCGTCCAATCGGTGGGAGTCCCCGGGGCCGGCCTTCCTGCAGCCTCTTCCGCTCGCCGGCTACGGCGCCTGGGACGGTTGCGGTGGGTCTGGGCGCTTGGGAAGTCATCCAAGATGATTAAAAAATTCGACAAGAAGGACGAGGAGTCTGGTACGCGCGGGGCCGCTCACAACCCCC